TTGCAGATATTTTTTTCCCATTCTGTATGTTGTCTTTTTATTTCGTTGATTGTTTTTTTTTGCTGTACAGAAGTGTTTTTGTTTGTTGTAGTTCCACTCCTTTTTGCTTTTATTGTTTGTGTTTTGGTGTCATATCCAAAAAATTGTTGCCGAGTTCAATGTCAAACAATTTTCCCCTGCTTTCTTCTAGGAGTTTTTTGGTTTCATGTCTTACATTTAAGTCTTTAATCCATTTTGAATTAATTTTTTTGTGAAAATAGGGTTCAATTTCCTTCTTTATTAATTATAATTATCCCAGAATAATTAATTATAAATTATCCCAGAATAATTTATCAAAGAGACTGTCCTTTCCCCATTCAGTATTCTTGTGTCTTTAGTTTCCTCATTTGAAATATGGGCATAATAATTGTACATACCTCACTAGGTTGTTGTGTGAGGATCATGAGTGTATGTATGTGTATGTTTTATTCTTTGAACAGTGTCTGGCACAAACTTAGTTCTATATTACTGTTTATTATGGTATAGCAAGCTAAGGAGTTTTGCCTTTATCCTTTGAGTGAAAGGGAGCCATGGACCAGTTCCAACAAAGGCATGGCATGATCTGAAAGCAATCTCCTTCTTTACCTAAGATCAGGTTGAAATCTGACAATCAGATGAAATCACTAGAAAAACAGAGTGCTAAATATTGCAGTGAGGTCTGAGAAGGAGGAAAGGTAAAAGGCCTTGGGAATTAATTGTCTGCTAGGTCCTTAGCTCTTAGCTTCTAGAAAATTATGAGAACAGAAGGTGAAGTGTGAGGGGTTGGAGAACACATGAGTGACTAGAAAATAAGGGCTCTGTACATATGCTCTTTGAATATTTTGGTTGTACAGGTTAAGAGGTGGTCATTTAAGGGGTGGCTGTATAGTATGGTCTTAGAGAGGAGTAAAGACAAGAAACAGCACAGAGAACAATATAGAGACTTTTAGAGCAGATATACCCTTACTGGACCTGGAACCCTCAGAAATGATAGGCAAAATGTTGGTTATAAATTGGAGTATCCAGGCCATTGGTTTGGAAATAAGGGGAATGGAAGTTGAACTGACTTGGATTTTGGCGCGGAGGCAAGATGTGAACACAGGAGAGCCAGATGAATATGAAGATGGAAAATGGAGAGTGTTGAAAAATATTTGAAACAGTTGTTATTGGGAAAACATAGGAGTCAAATAGAGGCAAACAGAAGGTTTGCCCTTATAACAGTGAAAGTCCAGCTGATACAGGGTATCATTAATTTGTTGTAGAAGTAACTAATTTGTTTTCTGACTTTTCGCTAGTGCCACTTGGCAGCTGGCAACCAGAGAATGTGTCTGGTAAAGGCTTTGGGGTTCCAGTAAAGCACCCCTCAAGTGGCCGAGTGTAGGACCCAGGCTGAATAAGGAGGTAAACAAAGACACGAGAGGACTGCTGTAATAGAGAGAGGCTGAGGAAAGGGAAGGCACAGTAGGGAAAAAAAAAAAAAGTGAGAGAAGGGGCAGAAAGGCCCTAAAGATATGAGGGAGCTGTTGTCAGAGAAGGCAGTTTCAGCTTTCAAGATCTTTGTGAGAGGGCAGCTTAAACAATGGTGATACAAGATGGGGATCAGGCTTACAGTAAATAGTAGAAGATTTTAACTTAGGCATTGTGATTATGGTGTTTTGTAGGTTCAGTTTCAAACTCCTTAAAATAAATTAACCAGATAGCACCATGTGCATGAGAAGGAAAGAGACTGAAATATAGTATAAGAAAGCTAAATTCTCATTTACCTTAAGAGGAAGTCAATTGAGAATGCCTCCAATTGATAAATCAAGAAATAGCAGTATAAGTATATAACACTCCTGGGTCAAAGGCAGAAACACTCTGATTGCACAGCTTTTGCAGATGAATGGTCATAAAAACAAGCAGGCCACTTTGGATCTGATGTTTGAAATTGTCAAGGCATCTTCAGGTATTTGATTAATGTTCAGATTTGGCCCATGTTTTGGAATTCTGCCTGGCTTAGCATATCTCTTCTGCAAGTGTAGTCTTCTTGCTGCTGTTAGGCATGTGATGATTGAACAGTAATACCCAGGGAGACTTTGGGGGTCCAAGCTTCTCCCTAATGGGGGAAACAGATTTTCATCTTTGACGAGAAATTACCCTTTTAGTCAATAAACAGGCAAGGTGAAGCTTTGTGCACCAGCAAATGCCTTTTGGGTAGCACAGAGGCAGCTGACTAGAGAGCACAGAGCTCTCAGATTGGAGAGAAGCAGAAAGCTTCGAAGGGGAAGGAGGGAATTGGGGAGGTGGAAAGAGAAAAAGTAGAGACAGGAGAGAGGAAGGTGCAACAAATGTCCCTATCCATTCTATTTTCCTCTTCGCTGGCTCTACCAATTTAACTCCTCTACACCCTTAATGGTTCTGGACCCAATTACAATTTTGGGAGGAGAGAGTTCTCCCCACCAACAAGCAATTCTCTGTGACACCAGCTGGGTGTGCTACCATTCAATTAAATTCTGATACTGTCTACCAGTAGATAGCATCAGATCCTGTGGGCTAAAGATTCACTCCTACAAGACTACCCACTTCCCTCTTCGCTTCACATGCAGATGCAAGCTCAGGTTATCTATCACCTGTGCTTCTGACTGGCTATAGATTGGAGATTCCAACCACCTCCTCCTTGAATGTGGTTAATTTGCTAGAGTGGCTCACAGAACTCGCAGAAACATCTTGCTTACTACATTACTGGTTTATTGTAAAAGGGTATAACTCAGGAACAGCCAAATGGAAGAGATGCATGGGGCAAGGAGCTTTCTTGCCCTCTTTGAGCATGCCACTCTCCCAGAATCTCAAAATGTTCACTAACCCGAAAGCTTGCTGAATCCTGTCTTTTTGAGTTTTTAAGGAGGTTTCATTACATAGGCATGATTGATTTAAATAACTGGCATTGGTGATTGAACTCAGTCTCTAACTCCTCTCTCCTCTCTGGAAGTCTGGGGGTGAGACTGAAAGTTTCAACCAGTTCTACCAATGTAGGACTCTACTGCCCTCAAAGGAGGGCAATCTTTGCTCCTGGACTCTATTGCCCTCAAAGGAGGGCAATCTTTGCTCCTGGACTCCACATCATCCAGGCTGAGATTTTCTTAGGGCTGAATTGAGGTTTAAGGATCTTCCTCTCAAATCTTCCTTCCTTTTCTCTCTCTCCTTTCTGAGGTGTCTCACCTGCATTACCACCTACTCCTGCACTCTCCTTTTTATTTTATAGGTGTTTCCCCCCGTGAGTCTCTTGCATGTCTAATTCTGTCTTGGCATCTGAACCGGCACACAAGGATAAGACAAGACCTGCTTTATAGGGTTGTTGTGAGAGTTCAATAAGTTAATATATGTGAAATGTTTAAAACAGGACCTGATATACAGCAAATGCTATGCGAGTGTTAGCTGCTATTATTATTATATTATTATTCTTTAGGTCTCAACTTATATATTACTCTCTCCAGGAAACATCTCAGATCTCCCTAGACTGGCTTAGAAGCCTCTCCTGAGTGCTCCAAAAGCATCTTGCCTGTACTTCTATTATGTTGCATTGTTTTCTTGTCAGTCTTCATACTTAGACTGTGAATTCAATTAACAATGGAACCTTGTTTTTTCACTGTTAAGCATCAATGTCTAACATTGTATCTCAGATGGTGAATTGATGTTCATTGAATGAAAATGATGATTCAGCAGAGTCTTAACAGATGGGTGTTATCTGCCAAATGGATGAGGGCTGGGAAAGAAGGAATTGTAGAGAGAATTGTGTATTGAGACATGAAAAGCATGTATTCTTTGGGGTACTGAAAGTTGCTTGTTATGGCTGAAGAGTAAGGCACAAGGGAGGTGTGTAAAAGAGAAGGCTAAGGAGGAAGTCAAAGCCCAGAGCACTGGGGAGGCTCTTTAAAATTTTTAAATTTTTACTTTTTAAAACATTTTATTTTTCAATTAGAGTTGACATTAGAGTTCAGGTGTACGGTATAGTGGTTAGACATTTATATAATTTATGAAACTGGGAAGGCTTTAATGCCAAGCTAATGCAGGCCTTGTGGTATAGGCTTTATGATGTCATAGTGGGTCCACACCCATCTTTGATCTCTACCTGTGTCTTTTTGAATCATATGTTAGTTCAGCCAACACCAAAAATGGGGGCTCTTTCTCCAGAACTGCATATGGAAATGTAGGCATCTCTGAACACTCATTTCAACAATGTATCTGATTGGTATCTACATTTATAAACTGCTTTGGCTGCCATATCTCATCCAAACTGGGGTCTCATAACTGATCTCTGCCTTCATCACACCCCAATTAATCTACCCTCCACTTCGACTGTGAGACAGAGCTTTCTAAAGCTAAATCTGTCCATCTTACTCTTTATTTTATTACCTTCTAACAGCACACTAGTTGCCTACAGGATAAGTGCAGCCCAGAAGACCCTTCATGGTCTGGCCTTTCACTCCCTCATCTCTCATTTCTTCCTCTGTATGCTGTGTACTGCACCATGCTAAACTCCTTGTAGGTCTCAGGAGTGTAATGCTACTCACCACTGCACTCATATTTACATAGTTGCTATCTGGAATGTCCTCTCATTCTTGTCTACTTTTTGAACTCTTACCGATCCTGCAGGAAGTAGTTGCAAAATCCCTGCCTCTGGAAGCTGTTACTGTCTTTATAGGAAGTAGGTCATCCTTTTATTTTATTTATTTATTTATTTTGCAGCCTCATTAGACTGTGTATGTACTTCTGTTAATGCTACCAACTACACTGCACTGCATTTGTTTGGTTACCTCCCTGACTCCCTTCTCTAGACTGTGGCTCCTTGAGGGTAGGACCAAATTTTAGTTAATATGGCGTTCTCAGCACCTAATGTAATGCCTGGAACCTTGTAAATATTCAATAGATACTGGCTAAAAAAAAAGAAGAAATAAAATGAAAGCTCTTCTCTTTCTTTTGAAGGGGAAGAAGTTCCCCTCACCATGTGGCTGTACCTAGTGACTATCGTAGGCCTGTACTACCTTATGCATTGGTACAGGGAGAGGCAGATGGTGAGTCACCTCCAAGACAAGTACGTCTTCATCACGGGCTGTGACTCGGGTTTTGGGAAACTGCTGGCCAGGCAGCTAGACCTGCGAGGCCTGAGGGTGCTGGCTGCGTGTCTGATGGAGAAGGGGCCCGAGCAGCTGAGGGGCCTGATGTCAGACAGGCTGGAGACAGTGATCCTGGACATCGCTAAGACGGAGAGCATCACTGCAGCCATGTCGGGGATAGAGGTATGGAGAATTATTTTTCTTCTTTCATTACTTAGGCATGAAGATATTAAAGTCTTGTAAATCAATCAATCAATCTCCCAAGCTGGGCTTAAAAAGCTGGCTTTGTCATTTGAAGGACAGTTATGATCTTTTGCAGTGTTTCATTTCCTTAACAATATTTACATTGAAAAATGAGCCAAATAGATTTGAGGCCATTATCTGACCTTACAAGTGGAGTGTTTATAACCATACTTCTTTATGTTTGAAGAATTTTCAAGATATTCTTAAGAAACCAACTATTTTTCCCTTGGCTATCATTTAAAATACAGGCATTCCTTGAAGTCAGCCTTTGTTCCTCTTCTTTATAAAAATTTCTTTTTCATTTTAATTTTTTTCTAATTAATAGATTGTATTTCTTAGAGCAGTTATAGGTTTACAGAAAAATTAAACAGAAAATACAGAGTTCCCATATACAACCCTCACTTAGTTTTTCCTGTAATTAACATCTTGCATTTAATTACATGTGTGATACATTTATAACATTTGAAGAACTAATATTGATACATTATTATTAACTAAAGTTCATAGATTACATTAGGGTCCAGTTTGTATTGTATAGTTCTATGGGTTTTGCAAATGTAAAATATCATGTATCCACCATCATAGTACAATATGGATAGTTTCATTGCCCTAAAAATCCTGTGCACCACCTATTTATCGTCTCCTCCCCCACCCCAAACCCTGGCAACTAATGATCTTTTTTATTGTCTCTACAGTTTTGCCTTTTTCCAAATGTCATATAGTTGGAACCATATTGTATATAGCCTTTTAGGTTGGCCTGTTTAATTGAGGAACATGCATTTAAAGTACCTTATGTCTTTCTGTGACTTGATAGCTCATTTCTTTTTATCACTGAATCATATTCCATTGTATGTAACATTCCATTGTATGTATCTTTATCCATTCACCTGTTGAAAGATGTCTTGGTTGTTTTCAATTTTTGACAATTATAGATAAATCCTCTTCTGTAAGTTCCATTTTCTGTGGATATTATCCAAGTCCTCTTTGATCCTCTCTTCTCCCTTCTTCTCGTGTTATGATTCAATAGATCCTATTAATTAGACTTCCTAAATATCTCTTCTCCCTGGGAGTTGCAAACTAGTGATACAATTGTTTTCTTTAGGTTGCAGAATGTATAAGTTTTTAAAAATTTACTTTTAATTTGAAATTTACTTTAAAATTTACTTTAAAATATTACTTCCTATCTGAGGATATACCTCAGGCAGAGTCAGGAATTTTGGGTATTTATAACCTCTGTCCTGTGTATAGCAGTTTATTAATATTGCATTTTTATTGTTATTATTAATGTTATTATTTTTCCATCTGTTAGAGTGTGAGCTCCTTGAGGACATGGGCCTCTCTTATTCATTATTGTATTTCCAGTTTCTGACATATTGACTGGTACTTGTTAAGAGCCCAACGAATGCTGAATGGATGCCGTCTACTTATAGTTTTATCAATTACCTTTATGCCCTTGCTTTCTAAATTATCTCTTGTTCCTCATACCTGAATTTCCAACTACTCGCTGGATTTCTCATCTGGAAATTCTGCTGGTGCCTCAAACTCATGAAATCTAAAGGAAGAATCTTATCTTGCTAGCTCCTCTTCACCAAATCTGCTTTTCTTTTTGGTCCTTCTCTCAGAGTAGTATATTTCTAATCCTTTGGTTATAAAGACTTGTTACGTCAGAGACTTTCCATCCTTATACTTTCAATTTTTTCATATCATCATCTTTTATGTGGCTCTCTAATAAATAAATAGCATATAGCTAGAACAATTCATTCATTTACACTTACTTAATTATTGATACGTTCATTATTCCTACCATCTTATTTTGTGCTTTTAATTTGTCCTATTTTTCTTGTTTCTTTTCTCTTTTAAATTGATTGAATTTTTATTCTACCTTTTGATTACTAGATTGAAAGTTATATATTCTATTTCTTTAGTAGTTCTTCTAGAAATTTTACTGCACATTTTAATCTACCAAAGTATAAAATTAATAACTTTACTTTCTCTTGATCAATCCAAAGCCCTCAGACCACTTGAAATTCAATCAACCCCCTAACAGTTTTGCCATTGCTATTCTATTTTTTTATTACTCATTATTTTTATTTATTTTAGTTCTAATTTTTGGCTCTACAATATATAATCTTTGTTTAGATTTATCCCTCATTTGCCATTTTCTTTGTTCATCATTCCTTCTTGAATCTTCCTTCTAATACTGCTTTCCTTCTAATTGAATATAGTCCTTAGAATTTAGAAGTGGTGTTTGGGGCAAAATCTCTCTCTTTTTTTTTCTTTTCTCTTCTTTTCTCTTTTCTTCTTCTTCTCTCTCTCTCTTTCTTTCTTTTACATTTCTTAAAATGTCTTTATTTTGCCCTCATTATTGAAAGATATTTTTGCTAGATAAGCCTTTCTAACTTTATAATTATTTTCTCTCAGCACATTGAAGATATTTCATTTTCTTGTGGCTCTTGTTACTGTTGATAAGTCAGTTGTCAGTCTAATTGTGTTACCTGGTGTAAATAATGTCTTTTTTTTTCTGATTATTTAAGGATGTTCTCTTTCTTTGGTTTTACTAAAGCTTTATTTTAGTGTGTCTAGATGTGAAGTTCTTTATGTTGCTTGGAATTTATTTGGCTTCTTGAATCTATGGACTAGCGTCTTTTATGAATTCTGGAAAATTCTCGGCCCTTGTTACTTCAGATATTGCCTTTGTTCCATTTCCCTTCTTCTTTCTTTCTGCATCTAATTAGATACACGTTAGATGTTTTTACTTTATTATTCGGTCTCTTTCACATTTTTCATCTCTTCTTTTCGTTGTGCTGCATTCTGCATATTTTCCTTTTTCTATGTTTCAGCTTACTACTTTCTTTTTTCCACTATGTCTATCTGCTATAAAATCTGTCTATGAAATTTCAGTTGTTAAACCTTTAATGTATAGAAGTTTCGTTAGGTTCTTTTCTAAATCTACTTGATCAATTTTATAATATTTTGTATTTATTAACATTTTCTCTTTTTTAATATTTGCAAAACCTTTATCTAATAAAAAAGACTTGTATTCAGAACATAAAAGAACACATATCTTAATTGTGAGAAAAACAGACCAATTCAAAATGGACCAAAGGTTGAATAGACATGCTCTTTATTAATGTTTTCAATCCCTTCCTTTATTTTAAAGTTATATTTAGCATGCATATTTTATATTATGTGTCAATTCTGGTATCTAAAGTCTTTGTGGGTCTTTTTCTGCTGTCTTGTTTTGCTGGTTCTTGAAAATGATACTTTGTTTCCTTGTATATTTAGTGATTTGTGACAATGAACTGCTGTTTTTCTTAGTAACCCTCTGGTGATTCCTTGAGGCCTGACATAAAGATTTCTCCAGAGAAGATGTATGTTTGCTTCTGGCAGGTGCCAGGGGGAACTCGGAAGCCATGGCTACCTTAAACCTAATTCTTGGCTTGAGATTTTTTGGACCACCAAGATAGTGTGAATTTGGCTATAAACTCTCATGAGCTGTATTTTGTGGTGATTAATTCCCCCTCTCTCCAACACCACAGTTCAAGACAGACAGTTTTACTTTAAGTCCTTTGGAAAGACTTTCTATCTCACCCTTAAACTGGTAGTGTAGCCATTTAGGATCCCTGTTTAATGAAGAAAGTGTTTTTTATTAGACTCCCTTCCTGAGATAGATACTAGACTTATGTTTTTTGAGGCTGTAAATACTGAAGTTCAAGTGCACACTGGTTGGCAAATTTCCTCAAATCAAAAGCCAGCATCAGTGTTCTGTTTATTCTCTCTGGATTCCTGTCTTACTTTTTTGTTCTGAACTTTCTTATTAACCAATAGATATATTTTGTAAGATTAAAAAATATATTTTGTGTAGCATTTTTAGTTGTTTTTAGTGGGAAGATTGATCAAGCTAAATAGTCTGTCATTTTTGTCTGAAATTGAACTCCTGCTTTGATTTTTGTTTTAGGACTCTGGGGCTTGGTCAGCAACGCAGGCATTTTTACCTCATTTGGCTATAGTGAGTGGGTGAAGATGGAGACCTCTGTGAATGTCCTTAAAGTGAACCTCATTGGTTTGATGGAGGTGACTTTGAGCATGCTTCCCTTGCTCAAAGTCACCTCTCCCTTGGTGAGGAGAGCACAGGGGAGGATTGTCAATTTCTCCTGCGTTCAGGGAAGAATTGCTTTCTATGGAGCAGCCTACTGTATCTCCAAGTATGGAGTAGAAGTTTTTTCCGATGTTCTGAGGTAATGCTCTTAAGTTAAAATAAAAACAACTATTGAGCACTTAAATATGTGTTAGATGTTGTGCTAATTGTTTTTACCTATGTTATCTTATTTTATCACTCCCTAAATCTTGATATGTAGATATTATTACTAGTCTGTTTTATATAGGGAACCAAGGCTCAGACTTCAGTATCTTCTCAAAGTTCACCTGTCACAACCAGGATTTGGCAGATCTGTGTTTTGACCCCAGGTCTTTGTTTCCTGCCACCACATCACACTTTTCAAGATTTATTCTTGATAAAATTTCATTTCTGAAGAGAGGGTGACTTTCTTTTCTCCTTAAAGTGAACCTATCCTTATCTCTCCATGGTGACTCTTTCTTTCTTAGTATATTTCTAATTATAATGGTATAAAATATTGCTACAGAAACTAGCAGAGGCTGACCTTAGGGCAGATTCATTTGAAAATGAGCTGTGAATATTGTAGGCACCATGTATTAATTTCCTATGGCTGCTGTAATAAATTACCACACATAATTTATGGTTTATGATGACTTAAAATAATAAATATTTATTCTCTCACAGTTCTATAGGCCAGAAGTCTGAAATCAATATCACTGGGCCAAAATCAAGTTGTTGAAAGGGCCATGTTTCTTCTGAAGGCTTTAGGAGAGAGTCTATTACTTGCCTCTTCTAGCTTCTGGTGGCTGACAGCATTTCTTTGCCTTTGGCCACATCACTCCAATCTCTACCTTCATGGTCACATTGCCTTCTCTTCTTCTGTTGGTCTTCAATCTGCTTCTGCCTCTCTTATAAGGATAGTTGTGATTACAGTTAGGGTGCACCCAGATAATCTGGCACAGTCTCTCTATCTCAAGACCTTACCTCAGTCATACCTGCAAAGTCTTTGCCATACAAGGTAACATTTACAGATTGCAGGGATTACGACCTGATATCTTTGGGGGCCATTATTTAACCTACCACACTCCATGACTGGTATATATTATTATAGTGTACATATTTCATTACCTGCCTAGGAAGAGACTAAAGAAACAACTGAGGACAAGAGTTTTTACCATGAACAGTTACCTCTCCTGTCTTCCTGCCTACCTAGTGTCCTGTCTCCCTGCATGGGGCTGCTGCCTGCTGATCTACCACCACTCACAACTGGTATCTTAGACTCCTTGAGTCATTCCCAGACCAAGAGCGAATTTATGTCCTTTTCACATTCAAATCACTACTTAATGTCTTTAGAAAATTTCAGTTTGCCTTAATTTTGCTAATGATAAACAGGGAAAGGAAGTGTTGTCCTACATTTGAGTTGGAATTTTAAAGGGGAATGGAGATGTTGTGTGATGGGAATCAGAGTGAGAAAGCTACAAAGGGAAGTGAAATTTAGAGGGCAGAGGCACCCCTGGCTTGCATAGCCCCTCTTCCAGAGCGTATACAAGCACTTGGAGAATCTTTTTCTGAAGCTCTAACTTGGAAGGTTTTAGGTTTGGGTTTGATAAAGGAGGGTTTTCCTTTAGAATAGTGGTTCTTAACCTTTAGTGTGTCTCAGAGCCACCTGGAGGGTTTGTTCAAACAGATTGTTGGGACTCACCGCCAGAGTTGCTGATTTAATAAGCCTGGATGGACTAGGGCCCAATAATTTGCTCTTCTAACAAGTTTCCAGATGCTGATGATGCTATTGATTTGGAGTTCACACTTTGCAAACCACTCACTACTTTAGAGGGTCATGATGCTTTGTGTTTTACCTTCTAGTGGACCATCGTTTCAAACATTTCTCCTTGGCATTAGCTTGGGTTTCATCTTCTCCAGCAAGACTGCTTAAACCTATAGGTTAGAGAGCACCCGTCATCACCGTCCCCAGACTACCTAGATATATCTCTACCGTGGTACACAATATCACCTTACTTCACTTGGTGAAGGCAGCACTTAGCCCAGTGCCTGGTACATACTCAGCCCCTGATAAGTATTTTTGGAACTATTTGTTGGACTAATTTGAATATTTTGGAATGACCAATAACTTGTAATTTTAATGCCCACATCATATTCTATTAATAGTCTCTTATAGTCTTAGAACACACTATAATTTTTCACAGGTCCATGCTTTTGTGTGTGTAATTCCCACTGTTTGATATTCTTCTCTTTCCATTTTTTCACTCGGAAATTTCCTCCTTAACAGTATAGTCTCAACTAAACATTTTCTCCTCATTGAAGTCTTTCCTGACTCCCTCAGAAAATTTATCTGCATCCTCCTTTCTACTTATGTAGCCCTTTGAATACCTCTCCTTTATAATTCTTTTGAATTGTACTGCAATTATTTACTTATTTGTTGAACTCACCAATTGTGAGCTTTCTGAGACGAGGAACTGAGTCTTAATTTTCTGATATTGCCCATGTAAAACACTTAGCATAGGAGCTGCCATAAAAATGCTAATTTTCTTTATTATTCTTTGTATTTTTCATGCCTCTAGTGTCTAGTACATGGTAGGTACTTAATAACTCTATCAAAACAGTAGATGTAGACTTGAATGGTTATGGTAGTTTGTATAATCATGTCCCAATGTTGGAACTAGGGATGTTTAAAATTATAATTTTTTCCTCTCTATTTTATTATCCTTGAAAATATTCAGTAAAGATGTTTTTGTAAACTGTTTTGTTTTGTTTTGTTTGTTCTTCACTGAGAGCATTGAAATTGTGGTGTTCTTCAATCAAAGGAGTTAACTTGAGGTGTTTTTTTTTCGGGCGTGAACTTCAACATTTTGGAGTGAAGATCAGCATAATTGAAGCCGGCTTCTTCAGAACTGGAATGGCAGACACTCAGGCACTCTTAAAAATAGCAAGGCAAATCTGCGATGAAGACCCTATGCATATTAAGGAGACCTATAGACAGAAGCTTTTTGATAAGTGTAAGCTTTTCTTTTGATAGAATGATGGACAACCTTGCTTGAGAAGGGGAAAAGAGGGTTGATGGAAAATGATTGGCAGATCCTTTGACAACAAAGCTTCTTAAGCAAAGCTTTCTCAGTGCAGGTGTGGTTTGGGAAGATTCCAGTGCCTTCATGGATGGCTTGTTGATGGCTAGCTAAGGAACTACAGTTCCCAGTATGCCGGGGGCCAGCCATTGTCCTAAGTTCTTCCCCACCTAAAGTTTTAAACTGTATATTAAGGAATTTTTTACCCTTCATGGGTATATGTAGTTTGATAATAGAAATCAATAGGAAAATAGAATTTACTAAGTGCCTATATGTAAAAGGAGGGAAATATGTATTTCATGGTATAAAAGTAGTTGAAATTGTCCATATTTGTCTATGGATTAGAATAATCTAGATCAGTGCTATCCAACAGAAATGTAATGAGAGCTGCATATGTAATCTTAAATAGTTTAGCAGCCACTTGTAAAAAAGGAAAAGAAGGTGAAATGAATTTTAAGAAAATATTTTATTTAAGACAATGTATTCAAAATACTATCCTTTCAACATTTATTATCAATCTAAAAGTTATTAATAAGATATTTTCTATTCTTTGAAAATTGGTGTGTATTTTATACTTACAGCACATCTCAACTTGGACCTTATGTTTTCATAGAAAATACTTTAAATTAATAAATTTATAGTTACCAACAGCATTTTTCATAATAGCCCCAAAGTGGAAACAACTCAAATGTCTATCAACTGATGAATAGATAAACAAAATGTGGTATAGCCATACAATGGAACATTATCTTGCAATAAAAAGGAATGGAGTACTGGTACATGCTACATATGAATAAACCTTCAAAACATTTTGCTTGGTAAAAGAAACCAGTCACAAAAGACCACAATGTATGATTCTATTTATATGAAATGTCCAGAAAAGGCAATCTATAGAAACAGAAAGTAGATTAGTGTTTGCCTAGGGCTAGGTTGGTTGACAAGAAAGGGAAGTGACTGCTAATGGGTATGGGGTTTTTTGGGGGGATGGTAAAACTTTACTAAACTTAGTTTGTGGTGATGGTTGCATAACTCTGAATATACTAAAGATCATTGATTTTTGCACTTTAAGTAGCTGAATTATATGGTACATGAATTATATCTCAATAAAGATGTTAAAAAAATTCCAACTGAATAAAGTAGATTCACATACCTATGTTGCTCCAAAGATACTTAAAAGTTTTCCAATAACAATATTGAGTTTTAAATTTTAAATTAATTAAGATTTTAAAATTCACTTTCAGTCACACTAGCCATATATTTAAGTGCTCAATAGCTACATTTGGGAAGTGGCTACCATACTGGGAAGCACAGATCTGATTGGCTTAATCCTTGTAGAAATTAGATGTATTTAGATTTATGTGATTGCATGCAAGATAATCTGAAAAGAAAAATACAAGGAGTAAGATTGCTGACCACCGTTTCTTTTTTTGTATACAGATTGCAATAATATCCAAACACTGCTGTCGACTGGTAACACAAACCTGAACCTGGTCACTGGCTGCATGGAACATGCTCTGGCATCTGTGTATCCCTGCACTCGATATTTAGCTGGAGGCCATGCTCAATTTTATTCCATCCCTCTCTCTTATTTACCTACGTCACTGGCAGACTATATATTGACCAGCTCTTGGCCCAAATCAGCCCAGGCAGTCTAAAGAAAACTAGTTTGGCGGCTCTTGAAGTGAAGAAGATGGAAGTCTGAAATTGATTGTTAGTGTTTCAGTAATCCTTATTTAGAACTAGACTTTCTATAACAGTAAGCTTTAATGCCTAAATTAATTTATCTGGTGTCATCTTAGAACTAACCAGTTTATATGTCAGTTAACCAAAACTTACTCCTTTAGGCGATGAATCTTTATTATCTTAACTATTTTTTTTTTTTTAGGTGAGGCAACCCTTGGTTGACCTCACAGATTGCAAGGGCTTTGTCAGCTTACAATTCCTTATTTTTTTATTTTTTACACCTACAGCACCTAGTATTCTAGGTGGTGTCCCATCCAAGTACTAACCAGGCCTGACCCTGCTTAGCTTCTGAGATCAGATGAGATTGGGCTTGTTCAGGGTGGCATAGCCGTAGGCATTTTAACCATTTTTTGATGAGACTGTTTCCCAAATGCATCATCCTTCCTTGCTCTATTAAACAGATAGGCTTAAAACAATTTAACTTGTTTTGATGTTCTTCATGTAAGTGGATAGTGGTTCTGTGCTGTGATAACCTATTACTCAGGAACTACTGAGAAATATGTAGGTGTGTTTATCCTTACTTAAATTGGTCTTTTGATAAATATTTCATCTTGCTTTCTCATCCCTGTTTGCCAGCTATTTTTGAATATACTTCTTCCTTAAAAAGAAATGATTTTAATTTTTTAAATCAAAATAATATACATATATAGTTAAAAATTCAGTTAACACTCAAAAGCTTAAAAGTGTAAAACAGTTCCCCACCTTTCATTGCTGCTCCTCAGAGGCAAATGATTTTAACTTTTAGCTATTTCTTCTGGTATTTACCTCTGTATTTCTAAATAATATACTGTTATTTCTTGATTGACTTCCTGTTAGGGCAAATGAGAATTTAGCTTTTTATACCACTTTCATGACCATTTCCTGTATCCCTATAATTCTAATATTTTTTTATCACATTTTCAGTTAAATTAATAGAGTTTGCATTATTAAGTATGAATATTATTATACTGTTTAGTCGAATTTTTTTTGTTTTATTACCAATGTTTTCCCTTGGAGTTAATTACTGCCTTGCTTTTTTACTTGCAAAGTTTTTTATTTGCTTTAATTTTTTTTTAGTTTTTCTCTCAGATGTCTCACTATCAATATTTTCTAGATACTTAAATAGATCATAACATTATTCATTCCATTTCAACAGGATCAGGCTTCGATTTAGTTGTCATTTCCCTTATTTAATCTATAATAGTTTCTTAACCTTTTAAAATCTTTTATGATTCTGATATTTTTGAAGAGTTTTGGCCAGGTATTTTGTAAAATGTCTCCCAGTTTGGATTGTATAATCTATTCTCATGATCAGAACCAGGTTATGAATTTTGGCAGATATGCCACAGAAGTGATTGTATCCCTTAGTGCATCATATCAGTAGGCACAGATGTCAGTTTATACCGTTATTGTTGATGGTATGTTTGAATGCTTGATTAAAGTAGAGTCCGCCAAGCTTCTCCATTGTAAGGGTAATTTTTTTTCCTTAACAATAAGTAATTTGTGAGGATATTTTGAGATTATATAAATGTCCTGTTCTCATCAAACTTTTACCTACTAATTTTATAATGATTAATGATTCTTTTTAAAATCAGTTATTACTATGATTGTTGCAAATTTTTAACTCCATCATTCCATCTACATTTACAGATTGAAATTTTCATCTTTTTAAAAATTTACTATAAGAATAAACTCATAGATTCTTGTTTTATTATAAATGATTTCTGTCTGCATGTGTTTCATATTTTTAAAATTCCTATACCCACACCACTATACTAAAAATCAAATCTATTAGTTGGAGTTCAGTATTTACTTGTGGTTCTTTTTGTCTTTCAAATTAAAACATATAGACAATCAAAGTATTTCTTGTAAATATTAGTTTTTTGTTTTTCCAATTCAGTGTATTTTTATTATTCATTTGAAATATAGTTTGTTTTATTTTTTTTCCTGTTAGTATTTAATTTGGCTTTCTCTCCCCCTGCATGCTAGTTGATTTAATGTTATTTTTAAATACATAAAACATTAACATGGTTCTTAAGTCAAACCTGGATTATTTTGAAGCAAATCTCATATACCATACAGGAACTGTAATTTAAAAAATGTTACCATTTGCAAGCACAAAAATATAATGTACTTAGGAATAAATCAAACAAAAGATGCACAATATCTTCACATAGAAGATTATAAAATTTTATTGTTTGACATTAAAGAAGGCCTAAGTAAATTTAAAAATTATAATATTCATTAACAGGGAATATCAAGATGAGAAAAAGATATATCAATTTCTCCCCAAATAATTTATAAATTCAATGTTATTCTAATCCAAACAAAATCACAACTGTATTTTATTAAATTGAGAAGCTGGTTTTCAGATTTACTTGGAAGAGAAAAAGGACATACATAGTAAAGAGAATTTTGAAGAACAGGATAAGGGAAACTTTAATCCCCAAGTGTTAAAACTTACTATAAAATTGTAAAAATATAAACAAATAGATGCAAAGCAAAGATAGACAAATAGATGAAAGAATAGAGTGATAGAAATTTGACATAACAGAGGTATTACAATGAGGTAGTGGGGAAATGATCCAATAATCATGATAGGACCATTATTATTTTTTTATGTGTTTAGAGAATAATAAAATTTGATACCTACCTCATCCTACACACAAAAATGAATTCCAGAGGAACAAATACTTAAGTGTGAAAAGTAAAACTTTAAAACTAGAAAAATCAAACACCGAGAACATTTTTACACCTGGGATCGAGAAGGCTAAACAATACACACAACAACACAAGAAGAGTAGTAAGTCTAACTACTATAAAATCGAGAACTTCTCAACATGAAATACACCTTGCATAAGTCAAAAGACAAGCTGCCAATTGTGAAATGTTTGCATCATAGGTAAACACAAAATGTTTTTTTAATTAAAAATTTTATTTTTTCAGTTTTGAGAAATAATTGACATACATTACTGTATAAGTTTAAGGTGTACAGCATCATGATTTGATTTACATATATTGTGAAATAATTATCACAATAAGTTCACCTAACATCCATCTTCTCATATACATACCATGAAAAGAAAAAAATTTCTCCTTGTGATAAGAACTGTAAGGATCTACTCTCAACACCTTTCCTTCATATCATACAGCAGTATGAACTGTAGTTATGTTGCATAACACATTTCTAGTACTCCATCCATCCTCTTCTCTGATGGTTAACATGAATAAGGTTAAGCTGCATGTGTCAACATGGATAAATTTTAAGAATAAAATGAACGAAAAAAGTTTCAGCAAATATGAATGGTGATATGCTATCTTTTGTTTAAAATGTTAAAACTTGCAGAAAGTGCTATATTTTGTTTATAGGTATATATAGTAAAAGTACCAAAGTGTTTATATTTAAACACTTTATGAGAGTGATAAGCACTGAATTCCTGTTGGTAGTTACCTTTGGGGTTTGAGGAAGGACATATTGGAGGTGTCGATTGAAGTAATACTGTATTTCTTAAGTTGAGTTTTAGATACATAGGTGTAGGTGTTAAATAATATTCTCTGTACTATTTTATAGGACTAAAATATCTAATAACAAAAATAAAATGTAAAGAATTTCATCTGTGTATCAAACTATAGGAACTATCTCTGTATATACCTATTACTTATGCTTTTTGTAAACAGTCAAAAAGCATTTGTTGACTGTAAAAGACAAACCATGTTTTTTCAATAGGTAGTAGTACTTTGAATCTGCTTTTCTATGTCTCATTTTGTGGAATGAGTGGATGTAAACTATTTCCTACTACCAATACAACAAATTGGATAGCAAATATGAACATGGCAAAATATATTAAATTTCTATTTTTACTTTCAAGACAAATTGTTTATTTTAAACTCTTGTCAAGGAAGGATGGGAACAAGTGCAGAGAGGTGGACAGGCACAGCTTAAATAGAAAATTCGATGAGATATTTTGAAGATTTTTCAAACATGAGAAAATGTTAAAGGTATGTTAATTGGAAAAAGAAAACACATATAAAATGGTATGTAATCCCAAATATAGAGTGACCAAATAATTTATTGTAGAAACATTTTGGGGAATGAAAAGCAGTGCTGAAATACTTAAAATTATATAATTTTTGAAATACTTATTAAATTAGTTTTTAATTTATCAGAATACATATAATAAATAGTTCTACTCAAATCTATTTTCAGAAATAAGATTCCTTGGAGCTCCAGTGGCGCAATCAGTTTTCGTGCGGTACCTACACAAAAGTAAGATTCTTTAAAGATAGTAACAGATTTGTGAGCATTAAATCATAAAATCTTTATATTCCTTATTTCAACATTAAAATAGCCTAACCAGAATCCTCCCCTCCCCTCCCCACCAGGGTGGTTCACTCTGCTGGGAAGCTCACATTCTAGCAGGGGGAGACAGACTTGTAAATGATCTACAATATCTACACTGTGTATGTTACCGTACCAACCACCATGTAGAAGAAAAAGAATTGTTAGAGTCATTTCTCCTAAAAGGCTAAAAATTCAAAACAACAAATCTAGTTCTGCAGCTAAATGTCATACTGTACCGTTGTATATGCTATCATTTCATTTGTGTCATTTCCTCCACCTCCAGATTAGTCTCTCATAAAGCACTTCAAGAGTACCAAAATTAATCATAATTTTCTCTATGATTTTTTTGGCATTAACCAATAGGTAGCTGCCACAGCAGATGTTCCAATTGTAAATTTTTTCAAGTTATTATTTTTATGAGATAAATTGCAAATCTTTTTTATTTATTTTTTATTAAAATTATTGGGGTGACTTTGATTAATAAAATCATACAGATTTCAAGTGTACAATTTAATAATACATCATCTGTATATTGCATTGTGTGTACACCACCCAAAGTTAAATTTCCTTCTGTCACCGTACATTTGACCC